TAGTATAGTATAGTATAGTATAGTATAGTATAGTATAGTATAGTATAGTATAGTATAGTATAGTATAGTATAGTATAGTATAGTATAATATATTATATTATATTATATTAATAATAATATATGAAATAATATTATAGAGAGACTCCTGAAGCTACCCAGCTTATGTTGTGCAGGATTAGGATATACTGGCTATTTTCATACCATCTTGTAAAAATATCAAGGTACAGAAATGTAGATGCTTCCCTGTTAACTGCTTATTCTATTTTCCTCAAAACAAGTCATATTGATTTTCAATATCAAATTTCCAATTTGAATCAAATCAAGTCTCAAGCTGCATCTTGGCTTTTATATCCCTAAAAACATTTCTCCGTATACATTTATCATCCTTTGTCAAATTATTGATGATACCTTACTTATAAAGGTAATATACAACACAATGAAGAAAAAAATCTAAATGGCCATTTAAAAAAAAATACAAGCAAATTTTGGACAGTTCAATAACAACCTTTGACACAACAAAAGCAATTAATAGGGTTAAGATAGATAAAGCACCAGGACCTGATAGTTTATTGAGTGGGTTCTATCAAACTTTTGAAGAGCAATTACTTCTCCTGATGAAAGATTTAATGAACTCTATTTTACAAAGAAACTACGCCTGATTCATGGAAAGATGCATACATGTCTTTGATGCCTAAGGAGGGACTGGATTTCTATGAAAAATTACAGACCAATTTTTCTTCTTCTTAATAATGATTATAAATTGTTTACATCCATTTTATTTGAAAGACTTAAAAAAGTTTTATGAGATTATATACATGAAGACCAGTGTGGTTTTCTACTCAAAAGACAATTAAAAGACAATGTGAGAGTAATCTTGGACATAATCGAACACTTACAACAATGTAGTGATGTATAGTTTCACTAATCCTAGATGCCGGAAAAGCTTTTGATAATTTGAGTTGGGACTTTATGTTTAAAGCAGTCAAAAATATGGATTTTGGACTGGGCTTTCTACAGGGATTGAAGTCCATTTATATATACCAGAAAGCACAGATTATGGTGAATGGAGATTTGATAAAACTATGTGAAATCCAGAAAGAAACAAGATAGTCCTGTATCCCCTTTATTATTTGCAACTGTTAGACAAAATAACAGAGTAAAAGGATTACAAATTGAAGCACATAAATATGGGCGTCATGCTTTTGCTGATGACTTAGTTTTGATTTTGCAAGACACACTAGAGAATACTGAGTATATTATGAAGATGATTAAAATATTTGAAGGAAATGATGGGTTTAAAAATAAATAAATTAAACACGACAATTAAGCCTATGAACGTGGAAAAGAACACGACAATTAAGCCTATGAACGTGGAAAAGAAGAGGAAATTGGAACTTAAAAATGAACTTAAAGTTGTGAAAAGGTAAAATATTTAGGGGTGACACCCACTAATAATTTTTTTAAGTTATATAAAAATAACCATGTTAAAATATGGGAGGAGTTAAAGTTGGACTTACACAGATGGAAAAACTAGATTTTGCATCATTAATCAGTGTAATTCCGTTAATTAAGATGAATGTACTACCCAAAAAGTTATTTCTTTACAGACTGTACCAATATTGATTAAAGATTCTTCTTTTAAACAGTGATGGAAAGATATATCCAAATTTCTTTGGCAAAAAAAAACAACAAGAATTAAAAATAAGCTTTTATAGGATGCTAAAGAATGAATAGGTCTGGGTTTGCTGCATTTCATATTATATTATGATGCCTATTGTTTGGTATGGTTAAAAGGCTGGTTAATTTTGAAGAACCCAAACTTTGTTAGACCTTGAAGGTTCCGATTTAGATTTGGGTGGGATGCTTATTTGTGGTACCATAAAGTTAACCTTGGTTTTAGGAATCATGCTATTAGACAAATAATTGGGCATGTATGATGGAAATACAGTATAAAAGAAGAATGGCTAACAAAGTGCCACTTTGATTATCACCCCATAAAAAAACCACACAGGAAAGTGATGCTATTAGATTCTAAATGACATATCGGGATTTACCTTTATTTGACAAGATAGATTTCAGATAAAAACAAGAGAGCAATTAATGAATAGTGAAGTGAAGGATCTGTTTGTGATTGGTTTAATTATTATACAATTTTTAAAGATTTAAACTTGCTAAAAAAAAAGTTTGGTATTTGCAGGAGTTAAATCTGAACAGGATATGTTTTTATGTTGTGGAGATGACCAACTGATTGCCAAAGTTTATAAACTGTTACTTAAGGTGAATCTGGGAGATGAACTTGTTAAAGATTGTATGGTAAAATGGGTGGGGAAAAATTGGTTACAATACAATGCTAGACCAATAGGAGAATGTATGAACCAATAGTTAAAATTCATTTTGAATTACAGTCTGGAGGAAAACATTTATAAGATGATGCACTGTTGATATTTGCCTTCAGATAGGCAGGCGAAAATGTATAGAAGGATTTCCAACAAGTGTTGGAAATGCAACCAAAATGTAGGTATATTCTAATATATATGATCGACTTGTAAGTATGCTGAATC